TTATAGAACTAGGCATTAACGATAATTAAATTATCATGTCAGTAAAAATAATGACTGAAAGATAATACTTGGCAAAATTAACAAAGAATATGTTTACAAGCCCCAATGCTTAAGAAAACTCTAACTTTATAGTATCCCGATAGTCTAAATTGGCCATATAATGATAAGATCTGTTTAGATCTAAAGCTTCTTCTGGTGGAAAATATTTAATTCATGTTTAATATTCTGTATAAAAAATAAATATGGGAACCAGTATCAATCACAAAAGAATTATTAATATACCCAAGAATTGTGATTAAATATTCATGATCAGTGTAATTCATATATGTACATGTAAGTGTGAAAGCCTTCTTCCTCCAATAAATATGATTAATAATTATTTCATTTTTCATGCGCGTACATGTTCTTCTGTTCATAAATGACCTTCGCGTACATGTAAGGATTCCTGGCATACTACCCAGAATCAATTTCTACTGCCTTTTATAGTTCCATTGTTTATTAGAAATCTCATTTCTGAGTTAGCTCCGCCCATTAAATTAATAAACCCCGCCCACTGGGACTGCTGGGACTGCTTTCTGGGACTGCTCGGACTGCTCTCTGGGACCTCTGGGACTGCTGGGACCGCTCTGGGACTGCTGTGGGACTGCTCTGGGACCGCTGTGGGACTGCTCTGGGACCGCTGTGGGACTGCTTTAGCAGTCCCAGAAAGCAGTCCCCGGGACTGCTCTGGGACTGCTTTGTGTCAGGTTGGGTCTGGTCGGTACTGTATATATTCCTATGTAAAACTTGGGTCGGCCATTTTGGCCCCATCCTTGCCCCGGGGGTCATAATTTGAACAAATTTGAATCTACACTACCTGGGGATGATTCCACATGAGTTTCATCTTTCCTTACACAATGGGTCTGGAGGAAACGATTTTTAATGATTTTTCTTATATATTCCTATTAAAAACTTGGGTCAGCCATTTTGGCCCAACCCTTCCCCAAGGGGTCATGATTTGAACAAACTTGAATCTACACTACCTGAGGATGCTTCCACATGAATTTCATCTTTCCTGTCCTAGTGGTTCCTGGGAAGAAGATTTTGAAAGATTTTTCCAATATATTCCTGTGTAAAACTTAGGTCGGTCATTTTGGCTCTACCGTTGCCACGGGGGTCATGATTTGTATAAACTTAAATCTATACTACCTGAGGATGCTTCCATATGAGTTTCATCTTTCCTAGCCCAATGGTTCTGGAGAAGAAGATTTTTAAAGATTTCCCCTATATATTCCTATGTTAAACTTGGGTCGGCCATTTTGGCCCCATCCTTGCCCTGGGGGTCATGATTTGAACTAACTTGAATATACACTACCCGAGGATGCTTCCACATGAGTTTCATCTTTCCTAGCCCATTGGTTCTGGAGAAAAAAATAAAGATTTTTCTTATATATTCCAATGTAAAACTGGGGTCGGCCATTTTGGCCCCATCTTTGCCCCGGGGTCATGATTTGAACAAATTTGAATCTACACTACCTGAGGATGATTCCACATGAGTTTCATCTTTCCTGGCCCAGTGGTTCTGGAGAAGAAGATTTTTAAAGATTTTTCTAATATATTCCTATGTAAAACTTGGGTCAGCCATTTTGGCCCCACCCTTGCCCCAGGGGTCATGATTTGAACAAACTTGAATCTACACTACCTGAAGATGATTCCACATGAGTTTCATCTTTCCTGTCCTAGTGGTTCCTGAGAAGATTTTGAAAGATTTTTACTATATATTAATTCCTATGTAAAACTAGGGTCGACCATTTTGGCCCTATCCTTGCCACGGGGGTTATGATTTGTACAAACTTGAATTTACACTACCTGAGGATGCTTCCACATGAGTTTCATCTTTCTTTACCCAGTAGTTCTGGAAAAGAAGATTTTTAAATATTTTCCCTATATACTCCTATGTAAAAATTTTATCTGCCATTTTGGCCCCACCCTTGCCCCGGGAGTCATGATTTGAACAAACTTGAATCTACACTACCTGAGGATGCTTCCACATGAGTTTCATCTTTCCTGGCCCAGTGTTTCTGAAGAAGAAGATTTTTAAAGATTTTTCCCATATATTCCTATGTAAAACTTTGGTCGGCCATTTTGGCCCCACCCTACCCCCGATGGTCATGATTTGAACAAACTTAAATCTACACTACCTGAGAATGATTCCACATGAGTTTCAGCTCTCCAGCTGGCCCAGTGGTTCTTGAGAAGAAGATTTTTTTAAAATGCCATTAATTTTTTTTCTAATTCAGAATTATCTCCCCTTGAAAAAGGGCGTGGCCCTTCAATTGAACAAATTTGAATCCCCTTAACCCAAGGATACTTTGTGCCAACTTTGGTTGAAATTGGCCCAGTGGTTCTTGAGAAGATGAAAATGTGAAAAGTTTACGACGACAACGACAACGACAACAACAACGACGACAGACAACGGACAAATTTTGATCAGAAAAGCTCACTTGAGCCTTCGGCTCAAGTGAGCTTATAATAACTGAACAGGGTAATAACATGGTCTGCATTCAAACGAATTTTCAAGAAAATATCATCCGAAATAAGATAAAAATTGCATATTGGAAAAACCAAACTTTTTCTTTAAAAGACACGGCAGAGAGAACAATCAAGTTGGGTTGGTCTATATAAACAGTTGATACACCATCAAAGCCACAATCAATTGAATGCTATCACACATTTTCTGCAGGTAGAGATATATGTCATTCAAAAATTAAATATGAAAATTATTCACCCGAGATTGTACTGATACCGAAAAATTCATGGCCTGGCTCATGGACTAATTTCCCAGAGGCTGTAGTTTGCCTTCAAGCAGTGAATAGCACAGTTGCAGTGTTGGAAGATAATTTGGCAATATTAATGTAAAATATCTCGGACTTTTCTGCAGAGTGCCAGCTTGCAGCAATCTAAATACAGAAGACCGTTGTTTTTTTGCAGTTCCCTCGTGCAATACGTGATTTTTTAAAATAGTTTATTCCTGATTTAAAATATTATACATGTATTCAGATTTTGTTAAATGTAAAAAAAAAAACTCTACTTTTCAAATTTAATAATGAAATGATGTTATAAACTATCTAAAAGAATCTTACCTCCCAATCAGATAACTGAAATGTCGTACTTTTCTTTTAAAATCTGAAATTTAAGATGTGAAAAATAAAGGAAATAAATCTCAAGATATGTTTACAGTAATGGAACGTTTAGAAACTGAAAAGTCACTTGTACTTTACGTTCGTACCATTTTAAAAAAAAAATGTTTGTACAATTTTTATTTCTTGTTAGTACATATAGAAGAAGCGTAGTATAAAACCTTGCAGAAGTAGGACAATGTATCCACGCATAGTTTTAATAAATGAAGTAATGACTGACATGCCGAGGAAATTCATCAAGGAATAATTGAAGATGGGTTTTTTTAAATTGCACAGATCCTTTCGCAAACTCACCGAGTCTTTGTTAGAAAAGCATTAAAAAGGACAACAGCTACGTTGGGACTGTTCAGACGTAAGAACAAATCCAAAATATGTGATGTATAGCTCTTTTCATGGAGGAAATTGTCATGTTGTAAATATCGAAGTTACCAGTTGGAAGTAAATACAAAACTCACATGAAAAAAATTGATTCGTGTGGTCAATTGCATGTTTACAGGTGGCTGTGCTGGAAAGCCATTATGGTAGAATTTACCGTTTTCTCAGGAAGATATCCATAGGAAGTATTTTTTAAGGGAAAAGCAGATTAAAACAAAGATTACATTACAACATATTCAAATAGTTTAATTAAGGGGGATGTACAAGCCATATTGGATGTAGTCTGGTGTGAAATAAGAAATACCAAGAATGCACTTAATACTCGTCTAAACTAGTCCAAAGCTACTCAAGGTGCTAATGCACTAGTTACCTACTGTAAGAGACCAAAATTAGTAAATAATTAAGTTTATTTTGTTTTAATTAGGAGGAAATTAAATATGGTAGAACTGCACAGCTACAGCATTCACGAGATGATAAATGCATTGAAAATGGTGTTAGTTTGATTCATTGATAATATGGCTACAACTATTTGTTTCGCTTTTTTCTTGTCATAATCAATAATTCTTAAAAATTTGACAGAATGGTTATTCTGGAATAAGGAAGTTCCCAATCGAGTGGGCCCAAGGTGGAAGTAAATACAAAATTTACATGACAAAAGACTTGATTCATTTGGTCAATTGCATGGTTACAGGTGGTTGTGCTGGAAAGCTATTATGGTAGTATTTACCGTTTCTCAGGAAGATATCCATAGGAAGTATTTTAAAGGGAAAAACAGATTAAAGCAAAGATTACATTACAGCAATATTCATACAGTTTAATTAACAAAATACAATTCATTATATATGTGTTCCTGTACCTGTTATAGTCAGCAGCGAAGGGACTTCTCTACACATTTCTTATCCAGTACGTTTCTGTTCCGAATCAGTAGAAAAATAAATCGTACATACGATTTTATAAATCGCTCAAACGATTTTCATTTTTTTTCAAATTTTTTCTACATTGTCACTATGAAATGAATACGCCGTTGCAAATAACCGAATTACAAAACAAACCCCCCAAAAATTTAGAATAGTAAAATACTCTAAGAGTTCCTTGAACATTTTAAAAAAATTAAGCAATTTTTCAGCTCTCTGTAGTCTTCATCCCCATCTGTGTTTAATTAAATACATGTAGCTAGAAAAATATTACTGTGTCTCGGGGTATGCCCTCACCACCGGGTCGATAGAAAGTTTATCAATTTAACGATAGAACATTCTATCCAGTGTTTAAAAGGTCCTTAAAAGGTTTTGTGGCCTTATATCTTCGACGCTTGCGTCAAGATTATTTTCTTCTTTTAATATTTTTTGTTTTCAAAAACATTTAAATCCGCCACTTTTACTTGCACCTTATCATTAGAGCAAGACCGAGTATTTAAATGCAATCTATTTATAAATGTATACAGGGCACATAGGCAGCGTACCGACGCTGGCAGTCATGGCTGTGTATTTCAGAGCTTACTTTGAAAGGTACTAGGGACAGTAATATAATATATTACTACAATAAATGTACATGACAAGTTATGTGACCTAAAATGAAATCATTTTAGAATGCTGGAGCAATAACGTAAGTACACATCTTTTATTTAATCTTATAAAAAAATCAACTTTCGTTTTCGATATTATAATTATTTGCTCAAGCAAGTATAATGCATTTTCATAATTTGGTGTTAACGAGTGTTTAATATCATATCAGTCTTAATTTTTATAATTGCTTCATCACTTAGAAAGTAATGCATTTTAATTAATTCAATAAGGCCGCAGAACATTAACTGGCAAATTAGGTGATGTGCAGCATGCGTCATTTCCGTCTTTTACAGACAAAACAATAAATGATAAACGATGAAATGGGCGGGTCCTATAGTCCAATCCAGACTTTGCAAACGTTGTTTGTGGCCCTTTGCTGGGTCAACCAAAAGGTCAAAAGGGAAAGAAACGTCCTCTTTATGCTACCAAATATATGGGCGTGCTGTAATTATTTTTTCCTTTCAATGTGTGGGTAGCCCCATCTTGGGGCAATCAGTACACACAAAAGGTAGAGCTTTTTAAAGTCAAATGACGAAGTTACAAAACTGAAAACTACAAAGGGCTTATCCCCTAAGATGGCGGCCAAGGGACATAACTTATGAAAAGTGTGGATTGGTCTATTCGAAGCGGACGACCGAGAAAGATTTGGATTGAAACCCTGATTTGAAATGCATTTCAAACTTACCAAAAGTTCATTTCATTTTATTGATAAATGTACTCCACTTTAAAATATACTTTTTTGTTAATGTTAAAACGTCTTTAATTTCACTGCACGAAATATATTCTGTTAATTTGTATTCTTAGTGGATGCAAAAACATATACATTGTCACTTATTCGGGTCTGCGCTCTGCTTATTTAGGTGAAATAATACATGTTTTTCTGTCATTTTTCTATCTACAAATGAATTAATATTTTTAGGGTGAGCAAGTATTTTAAATTCAATAAATAACAAGGGATTCTGTACAATCGGGGGCCTCACTATTTTTGTGTGAAACACAAACAGCTTGTGGCCTAACATATTGCAAAATGACCCAATGCTAATTTCATGTAATATTTTTAATTGCAGAAGTCATTATGTCCTACAAAGGATTTGGATATATTGTGGATTCCTGTCCCCTTAGTAAAGCAAATACAACAGAGGCAGCTTCCAAACTGAACTGTATTAATGACGTGTTTGGACGTAGTCAGTATGTCTGTGTTCCCAATGAAAACCTGACAGCTGTTGTAGAATTCTGTTATACAAAGTCTATTGTTGGACTCTATCAGGCTGGTAAAAACATTAATTTAATAATTTTGTGGAACTTTCCTCTCTCTCTCTCTCTCCTTTACCACTAAATATAAACAGAAAATTCAAAGTCTGATATAAATTAATCATGTATGATGAGGTATTTTTAGAGTGATAACTTTTGTATTAATTAAACTCAATTTTTGTTGAATTTTTCTCTGGTTTCTGAAAACAGTAAAGGAAATTTTTATAAAAGATAATATGTGAAACCAAAATAAGTTCTAAATGGATAAAATAAATTAGTTTAAACTCAATATCAATTTCAAAATTAAATATTTTATTATTTGAACAAAAATAAACAAGACAAAAGGTTAATGTATGGTAATGAAAAGGAAATTTGGACTATATTTTATGCTTTTCATTTAATTACAAAAGTTGTTATATTAATTACAATGTAAAGGTTATATGCATTTTTTAACATCATTTTGCAAATATTACACGAAATTCGGACTATAATAATGATTACGTCTAAGGCTCAAACTCTAATCGCTTCTTTATATAAATGCAACGTTATTCTTTTGCTATAATATTCAATTATTTAAACAATTGTGTTGCTTTTTATATTTCGTGAGTAAATAAAAAATGGTTTTCGTGTTAAAATTGAGGTATTTTCCGCGAAATACATGTACATGTACTAAGGGGCCACTAGCATGAAAAGTAGGTCATTGAGCATAGTAATTTGAGATTGAAATTTAACAAAAAATTCATGATATGATTGATTGATTGTATGTTGTTTAACGTCCCTCTCGAGAATTTTTCACTCATATGGAGACGCCACCACTTGCCGGTGGAGGGCTACAAATTTTGTCCTTTACTCGGCACTCAGGGCCTTTGAGCAGTGGGGGATCTTTTTCGTGCCAGCACCTACTGCGACAAGGGGCCTCGGTTTATACGGTCTCATCAAAATTCATATGTGTACAATGTGGAATAGGTTGTTTCCCGCTCTAATTAGAGATATATACTCGCCGTCAATAGAAACGCAACACCCTACTTTTAGGATGAAAATTGTATACAGGCTTTAACAATGTACCAAAAATGTTAGGACATCTTTTACTTTGCCAAATCGGTTATTTAACGGTTGAATGAATTTCTTTCCATTACCGGAAGTTGCTTTTTAGCCCTCTTAGCAGAATTTGAAATTTTCAATTTTTAATGAAATTTTAAAAATATTTTGGGTTTCCAAGGTTTTGAAACTGTTAATCATAAGTATTGTACAAAAAGGCCGGGAAAAATCCTTCTTTCTCTACCAGATGAGATGCCTATATTTCCTCAAAATGACTGATTTTCATTGCAAATACTAGAAATTCTCAAAATAAATAAAAAAAAAAGCTGCATATGCAAATATACACTATATAACAGTCCATCAGGTTCATGTGTTTCAATAGCATAAATGGCAGTTTCTTGACCGAAAGTCAAAATGTTGCTACACTACGCCAGATTAGAGAAAATTCGGCCGCAAATATGAGAAATATGTAGTTAAAAATGCCCAAGAATATTAATTTCGCTTAGATTAAAACATTAAGAAACTTAATGCATGGTTGAAATCGGGCTGCATTTGTTGTATATGGCGGACTGGTACGTTTTCATTAAAATGTCAGAAGGGGGGATGTTTTAAGATTTAACGGGTATTTTTTTCTTTCTAAGATCTGAAAATAACATTTAATGTTTAAATGGAGCATTATTTTTTTGTAAATTTACTTTTTACCTAAATATATTCATTTTTGATGTTATCATTAAACTTTTGAAGGTAACACATAACTCATAAATCATCCCCCCTTCTTGCTATTAGTCATTTTGAGGAAATATAGGCCTCACATCCGGTAAAGAAAGAAAGATTTTTTCCCGGCCTTTTAGTACAATACTTATGATTAACAGTTTCAAAACCTTAGAAAACCAAAATATTGTTAAAATTTTATCAAAAATGGAAAAAAATAAAATCTGTTAAGAGGGCTAAATAACAACTTCCGGTAATGGAAAGAAATTCATTCAACCGTTAAATAACTGATTTGGCGAAGTAAAAGATGTCCTAACTTTTTTGGTACATAGTTATAACCTGTATTAATTTTAATCCTAAAATTAGGGTGTTGCGTTTCCATTGGCGTTGAGTATATTTAGTCACTGGAGAAAAACCTTTATCTTAACTCGTTCTTTTGCAAACTCAGGGTATTGTCTGAAGACAATAAAAGATGGATATCTGGACCAGATCAGCTGTAAAAACTTCACGGAAGGTTGCCCAACCGCGCCTTACAGAAGTACAGAGCTTTATAAATGTAAGAAATTGCCCAATCACTTAACATAAATAAAAAAAAAAATCAATTTCATTTGTTTTTTTTACTATACTGTAAAACTATTTTTAATTGAAAATTGGAAAATTTGAAATTTGGAAGATAAGAAACTTTGGCAATCTACTGCCACTGTTTGTGAAGTGTTAATCGCGAAATTTTTGGTTTCGGAACTCTTAACTATTGCATTGGCACCTATACAATGGAGAGTAAAATACATGTACCTTTATTTTCAATATAACAATTAATGGCAATCACTTTCCAGAGAGCAAATTTATTTAAAAAATTAGGGGATTGGATTACTTTTGTATCCAATTCTAAACATTAATAAGTGCATCTTAATCAAATGGTCTTTAATTACCGAACTTAAAGTTAAATAAACAGCCTTATCGATGTAAACCAGTAAAAATGTTTTATGAAGCCAATTATTTTTTTTTCATTTTGACAACAGTGTACTTGTATTTAAGGAGGAATGCCACACCAACTTTTTATTTTATAGGTCTCTGAGTCAACCTTTTTAAACAATGGTTTCAGCATTGAAAAGCCGACATTAGGTCTTAATTATTTTATATGATTTTTTTTGTATTTTTTCTAAGAAAACGAAAAAAAAATAATTACATCCAAATTAGGTGATTCCCTGTAAAATTTTTGCTGTAAATGAATGAAGCACATGAATACCTAATAAAATATGTAAAGAAAGTCTGATTAGACTTTTAATTTTTTTTATAAAAAAATATTTATGAAAATGAAACATATAATTTGTGAATATATTTTAAACGTGTGGTTAAAATCTCCTTAAAACCAGCCATAATTGGGGAGAACATGTTCATTAATCATATTTATAAAAGAAATTGAAACGAAGTAGCCAAATTTTAGAGAAATTATTTTTTTTAAATTTTGGCTAATCTCGATCAAAATTAAACCGATCCCGACCATAATTGTACAATTATTGGAAATAAATAACACTTTCCTAAGAACACTAGTCTGATTAGGTGTTATAAGGGTTAAAACATTATAGAACCTGACAATAAAATAGATTTATTCATTGTAAATCCCTGAAGAGGCAATAGATTAGCATTTTATTCATTTTGTGTTATTTTTGATTGGGGTCAGTTTAATTTTGATCGGGTTAGGTCCAAATATTAATAAAATTAATTTCTCTACAATTTCTCAATTTCGTTTCAATTTCTTTTTAAAATATGATTGACAAACATGTTGTCCTTAGTTGTGACTAGTTTTATGGTGTTTTTAGCCATAGGTTTAAAAAATATTTACAAATAACGTGTTTTATTTTCATAAATAATTTTTATAAAAAAAAAATTAAAAACTCTAACCAGACTTTCTTTTCATATTTTATTAGGTATTCATGTGATGCATTCATTTACAGCAAAATTTTTACAAGAAAGGGTCTTATTTTGATGTAAATAATTTTTTTCATTTTCTTTGAAAAAGCACATAAAAATTAATATAAAATAATTAACAGCTAATATCGGCCTTTCAATGCTGAAACCATTGTTTAAAAGGGATGACTCAAAGATCCATAAAATAAAAAAAATGATGTGGCATTCTACCTTAACAAGATTGCTCAACAGACATTTTGAATTTGACAAATGGAAACTTTGGACGACTTCGACAAATTTCTTGAAGTTCCACTTTATAGTAACTTGATTGAATTTCTTCTGCATAGATCCAGCTTGCAGTCGTCTTAACACGGAGTTCCGATGTTTTGCTGCTGATTCCTTGTGTGTTTCGTAAGTTTTTTTTAACAAAAACGGATAAGGTAGGGCAAGGGCCATGCCGGGCCCCTATTTGATGTAAAAATCAGAACACTGGTTAAAGTTCGATAGTTTAAAGTTCATTACTTAAAATGATGCTTGTTATGAAACCAGAATAAGTAGGATATTTTCTCGAATTCTAATTGAATTTTGTCATATTTGAAATACTTTTCTCTTTGAAAAACAGAAAACACAATTTTGCCTATCTGCAATTTATACACATAAACTGCATATGTTACTAGTGTATAAAATCTTGAAGATCGGCAAGCTTGTGTTCTATATTTTTCAAAGCAAAATGAGCTGTAAAGTCGATGAAAATATGCATAAAAGAGAGTAAATACAAAAATTGACCTATTTTATGTCATCTTTATAACTTCTGTGTATTACAAAAATTAGAACAAATAATCATTTTTGAGGTGAGGATAAAAACAGGTTATTATTTATAAACTGTTACATCATTCTAAATTCTAAAAAAAAACAACATCAGGGGCCAAAAGAGGACTTAGGTACCTTGTCATTTCTTATCTTTAACTTAAGTTTACTACTAGTGAATCAGTTATTTACTATAATAGTAAATATAAGTCCATTTTACCATGAATTTCAGCTAGATATATTTATTTGTTATACTTTCTGTTTTCTGGTATTGAAATCAGGATTTCCTTGAGTATATATTTTGTACAAAATCACAGTATTAACCTTTTTTAAAAAGGGTTTTTATCATGCATCGAAATGTTTTAAAAAATTAAACATTCTTATATTTTTGAAACATATAATTATCGTTTGATTATAAAATCATGTTTTAAACTGTCGTATTTGAGTCATAATACGTATGTAATGTAGGGTCTTCAGATTGAAAATCTCCACTAATTAGATAGGGATCACGTGGTACTGAAACGTCATAGGTGTCAATGGGCAATTGGACCTCGTAAAGCGTATCGTAAGAAAACATCTACCGTATAGATGTTTGCATGAAATAAAAAGAATACACCACTAGGTTGGAAGAAATTCTGATATTGACAATATAACTTTTGGCTATGGATGCTCAATTTTATATATATTAATTTCTACAACAGAAAAATAACCAAAAAAACATACCGTGAAAGGATTATACATAGGGCATGGAAGACGAAACCGTTAATGAAAACTCCTGACTTCGATTAAATAGATCGAATTATTAGTCCGAACTTCTTAAATAATTATAAAAATGGTCGTTCTACGTTTTTTCTTTGTTTTTTTAATAAAATATACACAAGCTGATCTTGTATTTCTTCTATCTGTTCCAGCAATGAACATCATTTGATAGAAAGGCCACTTCGATCTTCAATGGCGCCGTTCGCCATTACGATCTTCACAACACACAGAGCATGATGTGTGTGCCGGACTTTTAAAATGTCTATTGATAAATTATATTTTTTTGAAAAATACTATTTCCATTAAATAGATATTTTACATAATACAGAATGTGGGATCGTACATAAACGAATGCTCTGAATGAAGACAAATCAATGCACCGACCAAGTCCCTGGCAGGTAAAAAAAACTTCCTAAAACCTTTCCTGTGCTAATTTTTCATACAAATGCCACAAATTATATCTAATTATCTATCAATTAACCAATTATCATTTATTTAATTTCTAGAAGGGTTTTAAGATGAAGCCATTGAGTCGTTTTGTAAACACGATAAGTACTTCGCTTGACCAGGACTGACACCTATGACGTCAGAGCAATGGCGCACAACATCGGCGATCAAAATATGCATATTGAGAAATTTAAACTTTGAATCGCTGAAACACGCAAAATATTAATTTTCTAACCAAAAAATGGATGATTTTAATAGCATATAAACCTTGTTATATAAAAAAATCATGATGCATGATAAAAACCCTTTAACTACATGTACTGTAAACCAACTATTATTCGCGTCATTTTTTATTTGCGATTCTTCAGTTTGAAGACTATCCGCTAAGATTAATTTCCGCGATTAGGGACATTCTCTATCGGGTGAATCACAATATAGGGGACAGTAAGGTTGCACTTGGGGGTAAAAAATTAATGTCTTCGTTTTGCCCCAAAAATATTTTTTCTAAAAAGTACAGTATCTAAAGGATCTCAAGCATAAACGGTTTTGTGAAATTCACATTAGAACTTTGTTTTTTACAAGCTGATAATAACCTCATTTTCACAGGTTACGGACACTACAAGTGTTGTTTTCTTTGAAATAAATATATAAAACTGTTTATATGCTCTATTTTTTTCAAATGCTTACAAACAAAGAACATATATAGATAAAAAATAAGGACAAAATTTTGACTAAAAAAGATGGCATTGTACTTTAAAATTTAAACAGTTCTTACTTCGTACATTTTTGTTCAAAATGATAGTATTTCATTTCATGTGAACTCTTTAAAACCAATATAGATAAAGAAAATACTATTTATAAACAACACTTTTTACGCGTTTGGTGAAATATAAATACTTCCATTAAAATAGGACATTTCATTTTTATAAATTTTCTAAAAGAATTTGATAGCTTCATTAAGTTACGGACATTACAAAACCCAAATATTTATGATAGCCGTTTGGTTTGTGGTACATTGTAAAAAAAAACATTTTATAAACTTCTATTATAAATCAGATTTAAATGATTATTAAATACAAAGTATATACAAATTAGATATTGTTTTAAGTAAAAACAATTTACTTGCAGAACTAATGCCAATAGAAAAAAAGTCCACTTTAGGAAATCCTGAAACTTCCTTCTTTCACATAACTACATGTATTTATTACAAGTACAAAAGAAAAGTTCTATTATTCATTAAAGTTTTATGAAAACTATTTAGAATGTAGGTACAATGATCAATGATCAAATAAGGGTTATGGACACTACGCAATACTTTAATTTTTCACAGGTTTGTGGATGAAGTTTTTGTTTTTAAGCCCTTTTCCTATCTTTTTTCAGCATTTTATTTCTCGTGTCAGTTTCTCCTGATTTTTTTTATTCTTCAGATCTCAATTTCATCTGTTACAAGCATACAATAACCAATATACTTTGAATAAATATATACACATGTAACTTTAGACAGGTGTTATGTGCAAGTAGAAAAGTCAAACCTTGAAGAATAAAACTCACTAATATTTCTTCAATTATTTTTTCTTTTCTGTGAAGCATTCTATTTTTCTTCAAACAGTTAAATATACAATACTTTATCTGAAATTGGTGTAATTTTAGTTGTTTTCTTTTTTGAAATTGTTTGTAGTGTCCGTAACCAATTTACTTCCCAACTGTTTAACATTTTGAATGCAAATTTACTTGCATTTAACACATTTTAAGATTTTACCTAATAAGCAACTAAACAATTGAAGCAATATTCACAAGAAATATGGGTTATGTAGCTAGTGATAATAATTTCTAACTATTTTTATATGTCATTGTGGGTGTCCAATCATTATTTTAGTACTTGCAGTAAAGAAAAAAAAAAACACATGATCTAAAAGAATTCCAGCGAATAAACACATTTTTATCTCTAAATTCAATAATACACTTTTTCAAAAATTTATCTGTAAATTCTATGGAGAAAAAATAAGGATATTTCATTTTTCAACTTTTGGTTACGGACACTACACACTCTACAAGTTATTTACAATAGGATAAAACTATACTTTAAATAAAGGAATTTCAAAAAGATTTTCTTAAATGTAACACCAGTTGACTTAAACAATGAAAAAATAATGACATGCTATTTGACTTAAATCCTAGGATGTCAATAGAATCTGCCAATATCAAGGTGATGTAACACCAAGGATCTTGTATATGAAAATGGTGCAATCTGGGTTTCCCAAAGTAGTTGCAATATCAAAATGAGGGAGAAAAATAAAGTACATTGACTAACTTGTTAAACAAACTTCTGACCCTTGTGAACAAATTTCCAATAGTGTTTTAACACCGCCTGTTTCAAACTGCCTCAAATTCAGGTTACGGACACTACAGGGTTTTGTAGTGTCCGTAACCACATTTGTAATGAAAACAGACAAACAGTGCTGATGATCAGGAAAATTACAAAACATCTCAGCATCTATATGAGATGCCTATATAGGAAATTAGTAAAGATATTTATAGAGCTTTCCAATTTCACAGAATGAGAGTGGTTATGGACACTACAGTTTTTTGTAAAAACTTAATTTTCCACATTAAACATGATGAAATTTCATTTTAATTGTTACATTAACCCAACTTTTTTCTGTAAGTAACAGAGCATTAATACTGTGATTTTAGACAGAAATCTGAGAAAATAAATGATATGGACATTATTTTTATTTGGCATAATGAGAGGGGTGAAATTATGTCAAAAATGTATAACATTGCATCCCTATTACATTTTCTTTCATATCTTCAAAAGTTGTCATTCAATCCTGAAAATTCAAGCACCAAAATAATTTGTAAAATAAATTCTAAAGTCTGATAATAATCATTGGCATGAAAATTTATGATATATAACAATAATTTCAATTGAAAAATGGTGTAATTTCAAAGCACAACCGCATAACGCTAAAAAAAGGTCATTTTTGGGGTACATTTATTGCATTTACTTAAATTCTGTTAAAGCTAGATCAACAAAATTTTGCACACAAGTCCTTTATAAGTATGCCTTTAAATGAATTATGATAAATTACATGTAAAGAAGTTAACATTTCTAAAAATCATGTATAACAATGTGGTATTCTTAATGCGCCTATATTTTGTTTCACCCGTATAAATCCTTAGCAAAATGAATGGTTCGCGGCGAATAATATTCGCGAGTTGAAGGAGGTCGCGGAACTCGCGGATATTTCTTACACGCGAATAAAAGTTGGTTTACAGTATACTTCAAATGTACACAGCATTTCCTCTTCAAGTTTCATGGTAAAAAGAAGTAACGAAGTATTCATTAATGTTTACTTTAGAAACTTTAGTTCACTTTTGTACATTTTTGTTAGAGTGGCTTCATTTTATAAAAATA